CCCGATTGTTACCCTAGCAACCAGCATTGTATATAGATAGCTACGTAGCCGAGAGCTTAGCTCTCTATCGAATACAATCTTGTTACCTTGGCCTGTCCGATCGTGCTCCCAAGCTTAAGACTACCCTCTGGGGTCGAGCCCCTTACATTTTGTATTCGATCACTAGCTAGCTAAGAGGAGATTAGACAAGCGTCTAGCCCTCGCTAGAAAATTTTTTACTATCCACTAGAACTATGTCTAGCCCTAGCTAGAACCAGAACGCTCTTCTGCTGCTCGTACAGCAGCTCCAGCAAGAGCTCCAGAACCAGCGATCAGAGATTACCTCCCTGCGCGACAGCGTCGCCCAGCTCCAGCTCCAGCTTCAGTCCCGCCAGCACCCGAACGACGCTCAGACGCGAGTCCGAGTGCGCCTACCAGACCCGCCCAAGTTCGACGGCAAACCGCACACGCTGCGCACATGGTTACCGTCTATCCAAGCTAAACTCTAATCTAACTAGCTTACAGGAGCTGATGCCTTTAATTACGTATGGGATTGTCTTGAGCAGCCTTAACAGGCGTCTATCCTCCACCTCCGCGAACAGTCTAAAGAGCTTTTAGATTGGGACCTAGAATAGATTTTTTTATTTTTCTAGCGCCTCTACTACAATCCACGTAAGCAACAAGAGGCAATTTAGCGTTTCTCCTAGATCCGCCAAAGGGACGATAAGTCGCTAATCGCCTACCTTGCGCGATTTGAGCGGCTATCGTTTGAAGCAAAGGCTTCCTTGTGGCCAGATATCTCCCGTGTCACAACGCTGCATCGCGGTCTCCGACAGTCGCTCAGGCAGAAGCTTGAGGAGTTAAACGACTCTCTCTTCAGCCTTCCGTACGATCAGTACGTAGAGACCATGCAGAGCGCCGAGAGGCGTTCGAAGCGTTTTCCTTCCAGCCAGCCCAGCCAGCCCAGCCAGCCCAGCCAGCCCAGCCAGCCCAGCCAGTCCAGCCAGCCCAACCAGTCCAGCCGAAACCGGTTCAGCCAACAGATGGATATTGATCCAATCCGAGTCAACGCTGCCAGACCTGCCAGACCCTCCAGATCCCGATCCTCCTCGACCTCGTCCAGTGCCTCAGCAGATCGCCAAGAGTACCGCCTCCTCAACGACCTTTGCCTCTGCTGCAGATCAGCTAATCACTGGATAGAATCCTGCCCCGAATCCCGCTCAGCTAGACTAGCTAGCCTAGCTAGACTAGCCTAGCTAAGAACTAAGACTACTGCACGAAGCCCTACTATGGATGCCCTCTTTGGATCAAAGAAGGGAGGGGCTATTCCTTAAGGAGGGGGGTATTGTAACAGGCTAAACGCCCTTCGCCTCCCATACTCGTCTACAACCTCGTTTACTCCACCTGCCTGGCCTAATTGTTACCCTAGCAACTAGCATTGTATATAGATAGCTACGTAGCCGAGAGCTTAGCTCTCTATCGAATACAATCTTGTTACCTTGGCCTGTCCGATCGTGCTCCCGAGCTTAAGACTACCCTCCGGGGTCGAGCCCCTTACAGGCATAGCGTGTTAGGATACAACACCACTGCATTGGCGGTGTTTATCGTGCTTAAGATATAGGGTATCTAAGATATCCAACGTCTTAAAGTAGGTATCAAAGAACAACCAAAATTTCAAATTCATATAACTTGGACTATGGATTAGATATTTCTTATATACTTATACTATAGGGATCATACTCCTTATAGTGAAATCAAGATAAGAAACATATAGGAGAAAGATGGTTAGAAATAGTAGGTATATATTAACTATTAGCCGTGTAAGGGGCTGCGCTCTAGGGAGCAATCGCGAGGTATACAAGAGGTTGTATTCGATAAGGAGCTATCTACTCTGCTTACGTGGTGTTTATTTACTTATCAGAGAAAGGTTATGCCAGAGTATCTGAGCGCGTTGTCTGAGCGCTGCTCGGTCTGAACGTAGTTCAGATGGTGCGCGCGCAGCTTGGCCCAAGATTCCATCGAGGAGCTATCCAAAGGGCGTTTAGCCCGTTACAATACCCCCCTCCTTAGGGGATACCGCATCGCCTCTCCGAAACCCCTCTGGGAGGCGGCCCTCGCTGTCTCGTTTGGCCTCCGTGAATGCTTCCCAACGATCTACTGCCTCAGCGTCCTCTAGCAGCTTAGCTGGTTCGAGCGTCGTTTGGTGGAACCCTTTCCATTTCACCTCGTAGTATAGCTTACGCCCTCTCCCACGGCGGCGTACCTCTTCTGCCATAATGTCCTCTACCTCCCATTCATCTTCTCCGTCTACCTGTAGTGGCTGTGGCTAATAGTCGTCCTAAACCTAGTTTAGGAGGGGATCGTTGCTAGCGAGTTTCAGCTAATCAACATAAAAAACAAGGTGTGGTCCTAGAGGCGTATCTAATTCAATTAAGTGGCTATCGATTACCTTCACCACTGTATACTTAGCGTTCTTCCAGTCGAGCTTCTTTGAGCTTCGCCCTGTGCCGTACTGCTGATCGAGCTTCAGCCATACCTTGTCGCCTACTCGGTAGCTCTGTGCCTCTCTCCGAGTCTTGTTCGCCTGTCTCTCCTGTTCTTGTTGAGCAACCGCCATGCCTGCCTG